CTTTACCTGAATAACTTGTTTGATGTATATATAGATGTAAAATATATATTTATTTACATAAAACAATAAGTTCATGTCGGTGTCTCTGACTTCACTTGAACACCTGCTGAGTAATTCATTGAATCTTGCAGAAATATAACATCAGCTTTAGGTCTATTATTTTAAATATACTTATTTATAGAATCTATAACAAGCAAACCTCTTTTAAAAGCAGTTTAAAATTCCTAAGTTAAACTTACTTACTAACTCTCTTAAAACGTAATACGGGTAGTCATAGACTTGCAACCACAATTTGAACAGAAACAGAATTTCTGTTGTAAGTCACTGTGGTTGTAAATCACATCAGGCCTGTTCTTGCAATTTTCACAGGGGCCTTTGAGCAAATCATGCAGTTGTTAAGCTTCCCCAGATTCCCCAATAGATGTTGTTTTGCTGGATTTGACCAGAAATCAGCAAAAAAAGATTGCAAATCATGTTCACCTGGATGCAGGACACTGCAAACATTCAGAAATGTGAGCTAGTTTGCCAAGCAGCCAAATTGCAATCACATGTGGTGCAACAGTAAATATAGGTTGTAAGTGACTTTTTCTAAAGTTGTCATAACTTTGAACATTATTAATTATTATAAGTTGAGAACTACCTGCAATTTGAGTTTTCATGTGTTCTCATAATAATGTCATTTGCAGTCCAAAGGTAGACCTTGTTTAGTGATCACAATTGAGATCAGCAACTCAGTCCTTAAGTGACACAGCCATTAAGCGGAAAAATCACTTGACTACAACTGTGCTCCCAATATTACTTCAGCTTTCATTCCCCCCCCCCACTTCCTCACTTATCCCAATGCTAAGATAATTAGTAAGAAGGAAATTAATCTTTGCATTAATATTTACTGAAGAGGAAGGGATTACAAGAGAGGAAGCAGGCATACAAAGGGAATGTGTGAATACATGTTGAAAGGAATGTGTTGATACATATATTGATGTCAGTTGCCTGCTTAACATGCTCATGGTTTGAGCCCCAAGTTGTTGAGGCAAACAAAAGTCAAGGTTGCATTGATTAAGATCTTGTCAGTCACGGGAAGCAGCCAGGAGCTGACTAATTAAGATTATAGAGCTGAACTCTTTAACTTGTAGTTAGTGGTTTTTAGGGACCTGAAGAAAAAAAGCAGCTCCAAAAGAGATAGTTTGTTTAGACAATTTCTCCATTTGACAAGGAGTAAAATGGAAAGAAAAAAAAGTCAGGAACAGGACAACACATACTAACTGACTATAAAGGGATATGACAGAGACAGTGCAAACGTTGTAAATGAGCATTGGTTGCAAAGCTACTTTTTCATCACCATTATAACATTGAACAATGACTGCCTAAGATAATTGCTAAGTGTACTGTAATATTTTTATCCATTAAGGCAATATCAATATTAGCCATCTTAAAAAAAATGTCTATATCAATATTAGCCAACCCCCCAAAATAATTTGTCATGATTAATCTCTATAACAGTACACATTGACTACAAATTATTCATCCTGAAAAAGACTCTCAACTTAAAATGTATAAAAAGATTATTCCCAAAATGCTGGAAGTGCAAGGACTTAACAAGTACATTATATTACATGTGGTGGACATGTAACTATGCAGGAAAATACTGGAGATTGATACAGACATGGGTGGAACAAATGGTGGGAGAGCATATTCCATTTAAACCAGAATTATTTCTCTTGGGAATAATGGCAGAAGGTTATAGGAAATATATAGCATATTTAATAATACATGTATTGACAGCAGCAAGAATGGTATACGCACAATATTAGAAGAATGAAATCATACCACCACAAAGAGATATAATAAGGAAAATAATGGCTTGTGCAAAATCGAATAGGCTAACCTTAGAACTGAAAAACAAGGGGGAATCAGATTATTATGAAACATGTAATAACTTTTATCAGTTGTTGCAAAAAAGAAGGGAAGAATTAAAAAGTAAATATTGTATCAATAACATGAATGTTAATGGTCTAGTAATATTTTTGTATGTATGGCAAATGTAACGCCAAAACG